TGTCAATGAATCTAATTTAACTGAGCTTAGTTAAATTGCATTGCATTTAAAACAGAATTGATATAACAGTATTAGACCAAAAGAACGCTCCAGATGTAGAACTGCACAAATTAGTTTTGCTTCTTAATATTTTATCCTTAAAAGAAAGTAATTCTTCTCAGAATTGTCAGCTAAGATGAAGAATTAAGAAATAAAGGTTTTAGAGTTGAAGGAGAGTGTTTGATTTCTTTTGTAAAAAATGACATTTGCTATGTTGGAAAGCTGCTTCAACTGGTATTTGAATGAAAGACATCAAATAGCTAAGTCCATGATTCCTAACAGTCCGGTAGCAGAGATAATAGAGCAGTCAAAGACTGATAAATGTCTGCTGCAGTCTCTGAAAACTTGTTCCTCATTGTCTTAATGTATTGAACTTGAAATCTAGATTCTGTGATTCTGCATTTTCTGTCAAATCAAATTTTGAATATTCACCTCTATTTTCACTAATAAAACTGCTGCAGAATTAAATTTTTGCCTTCAAATGTTTAACCACTACATGTTTCAAAAGACTAGAAAATGCATTCCAAAGATATTTTCAAGCAGAGAAGTATGTCCGGGTACCAAGAAATAAGCTTCATGCTGTCAGAATTAATTTCCACTTTCAAAAATACTGAAATTTACTATTACAAAATATGTTGGGTATATGTCTAATTTAAATTGTTGGCAAATGTTGTACATGTACTTCTCCTTTCATTTCCGCAATAACATCTAACAGAAGCTCTGAGGTTCAATGCAGTAATGGGAAATTTAATGTAATTAATCATTTTGAAAAGTGAGCTTTGTCATAGGATCATTCTTCAGCCTTCAATCCTTCATCTTCATTGCATTTTGCATGATGGCATTTATTTGTAAGAAATATATAACTGAGATTATGGCAGCTAACCTGCAAAGACCTACAGAAGCATTTAATGATTGGCAGCACATGTAGTCTTGTCTACATATGTCTTCAGTCCCACAGCAGTATAATTGCATTTTGGGCAATTAGGGATGAAAAATGATACTATCCAAACAGCAACACCCATATCCCACGAATCAACTAAAAGAAGATTGCAGTACATATCACGTAAGTACACCCACTGTACTTTTTAGGTAAGAGTTCCAGGATTTTGATTCAGAGACAATGGCGGGAACAGTGATATATTTCCAATTCAGGATGATGTGTAACTTCGTTGGTGGTGATGTTCCCACGTACCTAGTTGCTCGTGACCACCTAGGTCATAGAGTTTGTGGTTTTAGAAGATGCTGCCAGAGAAGCTTTGTTACAGCAATGTATCTTGTAGACCAGTGGTTTCCAAACTTTTGAGTAACCTGGCACAGTTCAATGAGGCAAGCAATTCCACAGCACACCCACTTAGTCATAGTCTTAGAGCCATACAGCACTGAAATAGACTCTTCGGTCCAACCAGTTCATGCCAAACATAATCCCCAAACTAAACTAATCCCACCTGCCTGCTCCTGACCCATATCCCTCCAAACCCTTCCTATTCATGTACTTATCCAAATGTCTTCTAAACATTGTAATTGTACCCACATCCACCACTTCCTCATGAAGTTCATTCCACATGCAAACTACACTATGTGTAAAAATAAAATTGCCTCTTGTCTTTTTTAAAATCGCTCTCGTCTCCTTAAGAATGTGTCCCCTAGTCTGGAAATCTCCCATCCTAAGGAAAAGATAACTGCCATTAATTCTATCCAAACTTGTCACTACTTTATAAACTTCTATCAGGTCGCCTCTCAACCTCTTACGCACCAGTGAAAAAAGTCCCGGCCTATCCAGCCTTCCTTTAGAACTCCAATCTTCCATACCTGGCAAAATCCTGATAAGTTTCTTCTGAAACCTCTCCATCTTGATAATATCCTTCCTATAACTGGGCGAGCAGAACTGGACACAGTATTCCAGAAGAGGTCTCACAATGTCCTGTACAGCCTCAACTTCCCAACTCCTATTCTCAAAGAACTGAGCAATGAAGACAAGCGTTCCAAACGTTTTTTTTTTAACCACCCTGTCTATATGTGATGCAAACTTCAAAGAATTATGCACCTGCACCCTAGGGACTTGTTTCATCTGAATTGATTGCTCATTGTCATCAATTTACTTGCATTTACTGTGGCCACGATCTAGCTAGGGCAATTTGCAGCATTGTGCATACAACAAGCTAAAGCACAATCACATGCATTAATATTTCAAAACCTCTGGAAAAAAATATGCAGTCTTTGATTGCAGCACAGGCACATTTTCAAAATCCACTCAACTCAACCAGTTCTAATGATTCATGGCCCTAAAATGTTCACACACTGCACAGAGTTCAGAGGTCTGAATTTCGGAGATGGCATTTCACGTTTGTAACTGTTTATAAATGTATTATTTTTCATTAAATTATTGTACAGATGCATAATTGAAATTTAACAAATCAGAGCAAAATGCAAAGTAAAAGTAAATTTCAATTTACTGGGTTAGTGGGAAACCTGATCCTGATGCTGGTGTGTGCTGAGCTTTTTGATCCCAGGAGAAATGTTGTTCAAGATGGATCACCGTTTGCTAGATGTGTTTTGATTATGTTTGTACAAATTTCATGGCATGCTTGAACTATTCTCGCAGCACGCCAGTTAAAAACCACTCTTGTGGATGGTACTCACTGCAGCCACATTGCACCAGAAATGGAGGGAGTGAATGTTTAATTTGGTGATCAAGAGGACTGCTTTGGTATAAATGATATTAAACTTCGGTGTTGGAGTTGCTGCCCAGACAAATGGAAGGAATTCCATCACAAACCTGACTTTGCCTTGGAATGGACGCGAAGATTTCAGTTGTCAGGCAGTAAGTTGCACAGTGCCAATTTTGACGATCATTCTTAGGATGTGGTTATCACTGGGAAGACCAAATATAGCTGATCCAATCCGCCCTAGAGGAGGTAGTCATGAGTAGTCTTCCTAAGCTACTACAGTCCATGTGACTTGCGTACATGTATAGTGCTCTTAGGAAGGAGTTCCAGAATTTTAACCCATCATCAGTAAAGGAATGGTGATATCGTTCCAAGTCAGGAGGGTGTTTGCACTTGGAGAGGATCTTGCAGATGGCGGTACTTTTGTAGTTACATAATTTATGTGACTGATTCAAATAAATTTGATACTTGGTGAAACTCTGCCACCGTCTTTTCTCTCTGTCTGGAGTTTTGAGACGTTCATTGATGGTCCTTTGAATGTCATGGGGAGGAAGTTTTTGTTGATGTCAAAAAATCAGCATGAATTTTTAAATGGTAGGTCATGTATGATTAATTTTAAGCTTTAAGTAAGCCACTAGCTTGCTGTCTGTATGAACTTTCAATTAATATTTGATAAGTTTGCACAAAAAATTACCAAAAGTAAGGCATTGGAAATAACTTTATGATTACATAACTAATGGGGGGTGGGGCGGGGTACAGATTTAGGAATAAAGAATTAATTCTCCAGTTGGGGGATGTGACATGGTATTTCCCGGGGATCAGTACTGGGCCATCAGCTGACTGGAATGGAAGGGTATGTTTCATGTGGTGCCGTGTATATGGACACTACCTCTGAGCCATGATTTTCCAGGTTCAAGTCCCACTGGCTCCAGAGGTGTGTATTAACATCTATGAACAGTTTAATTAGAAAAATAACTATCCGGATGACATGAATTTGGAAAAGCCAATAATAGCAAAAGTTACAAATGCAAACGACTGACAAAGGGACCTGGCAAAGTGGTGGAATTTACTATGGGCAAGTGTGAGCTCTTTCACTTTGGAGCTCAAACAGATGTATTGAATCCTTAATGCTGAAAGGCCAGGAGTGATGGAGAAACAAATAAATTCAGCTATCTATGTAGAGAAATCACAAAAGTTATTCAAGAATAAAGAAGTAATTAAGACACATCATAGAATGTTGACCCTGTGTGCCTATCTTATCTCTCTATTAAGCGTTGGAATACATGAGTGCAAGTATGAAAATTACCACAATGGCTGTGAAAGGTACAAGCCCAAATACCCAAATGTAAGATGCTTTATTTAATAAACAATAGTTAGGCTTGAGTGTTATGAGTTAGAAGTTGTTAGGCATTATCTGACCAGAAGAAGGTTTCTGACTTTTACTGCAATTTATGTGTTGCCAATTGATGTTTAAATAATGTTACCATTTTGTTTTCTCTTTCTGTCTGGTCTAATTATGCTACACACTACCCACAGCTAAGGTCACAGGCACTAACCTGCTCCCAGACCTCTGCTAGTGACACTTTGTAAGTGGCTGCAAGGAAGTGGGGAGGGTGGCCTTTATTTACTCTTCCCTCACATTCTGATGATCTGAACATGCAGCAAGTGCACTGAACATTGTTAATAATTACACTTAAGTATATGCAGACCCTGTCCTGGAGCCAAACAAAGCTGTGGTCTTCATAATATTACTATTTCATTCCAGCTGTAGCACTGGAAGGTTAAGCCCATGAAAAAGTGTATCCTAATGTGCTTTTTCATAAATTAAGTACTTTTTGTAATGTGGGAAACTCAGTCACTTTACACACCGAAAGACCCTCAATAGCAATGTAGTAATTACCAGATAACCCATTTTAGAAATGATTTGCAACCATTTTGTATGGTATCTTGACAGTCAGAGAAGTCCAAATGTAAAGGAACAATCTGAAAGTTTTCCTCCAAATCCTGCAGAAGGGAGTACATTTGATAATGCTATTGACTAGCTCCCATCAACTAGTTTGCTAACCATCTAAGTTACATGGTAAATTTCTCTTGTAGTCTTTCAAGCATAAACATTTGCTGATCGTTTGTAGCATCCCTGTTCTGGAACCCTGGTGCATATGGCACTGAGAGTTTGAAATCTTGTGTGTTTAGATTGGATTAGATCTAAACTGGTGTTTTGAACATTTTCACATTTAGTAAACTTAGGTCATTTTTGAGTGTTTAATACTTAATTGATTCCCTTTCTTCTAGAAGCTGATCCATCAGATGGTTCAGGTCTGGGGACCGGTGCCATTGTTGGCATTCTCATTGTCGTCTTCCTCATCTTGCTCGTTGCTGTCGATGTCACCTGCTACTTCATTAATAAGTGTGGCCTGCTGATGTGCATTGCTGTTAATTTCTGTGGGCAGCCTGGTCCAGGATCCAAGGGCAAGGACATGGAAGAAGGAAAAGCTGCTTTCTCGTAAGGAATTTAAGCTTTTAATTTTTCAGAAATACAATATGTTAAAGCAGCAAAGTTAGTGTGTTCAGTAATTGTTCCGCCGCTGTACTGACAAGATCTTCTGGTTTTCAAGCCTTTAATTATATGTTTTGCCAGTCGTGGAAATAATTGTGAAACCATGTTGATACATCCAAACTAATGAACCAGCAAAACATTAATTGAAAATCACAGGTCTTCACTGGTTTTGAATTTAGATGAAAAGAAAAATTCGTCCAGTAACTTTAAAAGATCTTGGGGTCCTGTTGTTTTCTTCATAATATTAAAATACCCATCTAAGACTCAATATGCATTACCAGATCATCACTATCTTAATTGTATTATTGTCTAGTCAAGTATTTTGACACACAAATAGTACATGTTTATACCTTCGCTATTTAATAGTCAGGAGCTTTTAATTATTTTAGTACCTAGAAAGTTTATTTCAGTGGAATGGATGCGAAAGGCAAAGAAGATTTCTTGCAATGCTGCTATTTTGATTCCTCATACGTACACCAACAGCCTTCTTTCGTAGAGTACCTTTGTTCCATCTAATTTTTTTTACTGTCTTATTGTTAATTCATGTAGGCATTGCTGGCTGGGCCAGCATTTCTTGCCCAGACCCAGTTGCCCTTGAGAAGCTGGTGGTGACCTGTCTCCTTGAAGCAATTGGTATAGGTAGATGCACGGTGCCACTATGGGAGGGAATTCCAGGATTTTGACCCAGTAACGCTGAAGGAACAGTGAAATACATCAATCTACAATATTCCCTTGGTGTATTTTTTATTAACGGTGCCTTCCACTTAGTGACTAGAACCAATTTGATTTCTGTTTTCAAAACCAATAAAGTTTGTAATTCCACATCAGTGTCCATAATTTGTTCCTCACACTTGATGATGATTCTGTTGTGGTCAAGTTAATTGATAGAATAATGCAAGTTGTTCAGAGACCAGGCAATAAGTTTCAGACATAGAGACTCTCGATGAAGTCATGTCAGAACACTTTAATAAGCAGCAAAAGTAACACTCAACAAATCAAAACAATCGGTAGCCACGTTCAGACGGTTCTAGCTTCCTCATTGCTAGTGGTACAGGTGGCTCTTAATTCATCATCATTTGTCTCTCCCTGCTTCATCTTCAAATCTATGCCACAAACCTCCCCAGGTCTGCTCCTTTTTCTTTTGAAACCAGTGGCTCTTCCTGTGTCACTTGTGCTCTGATCAGTTGATGCATACTTATCACTGTTTAATTGGTCCTGCTAGTTCTTGCATTAATTAATTAATTCATTAAACATAGTCACTTGACCCCATATGTACAAAACATTGTGCTCTTTAATGGAGTCAGTTATTAGCTTCTTTCTAAATGGACATCTGCCAAACTAGCTGACCACTTCACCCATTAATTATAGCTCCAAAATTCATTAATTTTTACATTTCATGCTAAACATGTCCTGCTTTTCATCACACTTTGACTATTGGTACAGTTTGGATACTCATTCCTTTCCTCCCCTTCCTCCTATTCATGTCATCAAGCCTTGAGACGATGTGGTCATGGCTAACCTAGACCATATAAGCAGTATTCTCTCAGTGAAGCCCTCACATCTACAATTCTCTTCCCATCTATCCCATATAAAATGCAATTGGTCAGTAAAACCACGTCAAAATGTGCCCTTACCCACCAAAATGAAAGATGGCATCTTACATTTCTTTACAGAAAAGACGAATCAAAGGAGCCGATTGTGGAGGTACGGACTGAGGAAGAACGAACTCCCAATCATGATGGTGGAAGCCAAACTGAGCCCAATGAAACCACACCATTGACAGAGCCTGAGTAAGTTGCTGTGTGTTTGAGAATGTAGCTGTTTTGTACTGTGATCTCGGCTTGTTCTTTTGCTTTACGTTTTAGTTCATCTGGTCGGTGGATCATTTCTGTTTGCTTTTTAACTCCCGTGAATCCTGTGAGCTACTGTGCAGTGCTAAGTCTAATTTGGCTTGTGTTTTCCTGATGGTGTTTACCCTCCAGAATTATTTTATCATAATGAAAGGACAAAGCCAAAATCAGAAAAGTTAAGATCCGGAAATAATTCACTTATGAGTTATAGCCATCCATGATTTTGAGGAATCACTAACAGCTTGCAAATATAGTTGAAAATGAACTTTGTAAAAATTGAGAGAAATGAAGTAAATTTTCCATTCAACAGATATTAATAAAATACCCACTAACTAATTTTCTCAGTAAAATTCCGACCTCTATCTCCATTCATGATCGGCTATATATGCATGAATATTGGTAGAAGAAAATTTTGTTTTACACTTAGTAAGCAATACTGTGATGTTCTTAACATGGTCATGCACCTACTGTAATTCAAAACTTGAATCTGAAAGTGCTTTACAATTTTGTAAGAAGACACATTGAAACAGTAAAAGTTTTATTGTGAATTTTGATTTGATTTGATTTGATTGAGAGAAGGAAAGGATTCAAGCAACCAACTAACCTTTTGACTTACAACAGGTTGCAATAACTTCAGAATTATTGGAGCTTAAGTCACTTTCTGTCAATTTCTATAACATCCTAGTCATTTATTATACTAGCTAAGGATGATAGCTTTCAAACCCAATATATGGGACTATTTAATGTTACGTGTTGCATACGTGACAGCATGATATAGTTGTTTTGTGTGCTTTTGCTTCTTTCTGTCACTATTGCTATATTGTCTATTCTATCCATTTTCTACTCCTGTTGTCCTCACAGGCATGCAGCAGATACCCAGGCTACTGTCGAAGACATGTTGCCTTCTGTCACCACAGTAACCACTAACTCTGACACTATCACTGAAACTTTTGCCACTGCTCAAAACAGTCCAACGAGTGAAACGACTACACTCACATCCAGTGCTGCACTCCCAGCCTCAACCACACCTGAGCCATCACCAGCTTCAGCTGCCCCACCTCACTCACCCAAGGCAGCTGTAGCATCGCCCACTTCACCTTCCACCAAGTCTCAAGCTGAGACAGTATCCATTGTTGCGCCCCTTGTTGATCTTAGTGATGCCCCAGTCTCTGTTTCTGCAACTCCTCCTTCTGCCCCCGTCTCTGTTTCTTCACCGCCTTCTTCCGCCCCAACCTCCAGTAATCCAGTCTCAAACGTCAATTCCAACCAAGCTTCTGCCCCACCAGTAGCCAGAACAGCAGAGGAGGTGACAAAAGATCCTGCTAATAACAAACCTGGCCCAGTTCCCAGCCCCGGAAACCCAGCCAGCCCCCCGGCTACTTCAGCACAGCAACAATCCAAGCCAGAAGCTCCAACGACTACCAAGAGCCCAGAAATAGAAGCTGCAAAACCTAACCCAGTGAAGAGCCCTGTGGAGCCAACAAATAACTCCACCAGTGTGAAGAACGAGGCTGCTACAGACAGCAGCAAAAAACCCTCCCAGGGTGAGGACTTTCCAGTTGACGGAGGGACCTTCAAGACCTCAGACATTGACCTTGCAAAGGATGTTTTTGCAGCTCTTGGCACTTCTTCTCTTCCCACTATGGCTGGTGGGAAAGCTGCTGACCTTGCTCCTTCCATTGCAGACGCCGCTTTACCATCTGCTCCGGCAAAGGAAGAGTATGGGCATTTTTCACACTAATGCTACTTGCTTGTCACTGTGTCTTTGTTGTGATGCAGCTCTGCTTTCATGTCCTTTCAACTCCTGCATAAAACCTGGTCACTCAGATAAGGCAATTCAAAGGCTACTTTTCTAATAGTATTTTTTAAGGTTGTATCTTGCTTTAACATGCTAGGTGAAAAGTCTAATGTTACTGGACGTTTAGGAATTGCAGATCGTGTGAAGTTAGTTGGATTGTTTCATTAAAGGAAAACTTGGAATTAAAATTTACAAGCCATTTCAATTAAACAACATCTTGTTGCACTTATTTACCTACTTTTTAAAAAAATTCAACATGAATCTTCTTCCAATTGACTTGCAAAATTGTGAATTTAACTGTCTTAAATTGTGCAGGACGAGGAATATCTATATTGGCAGTGTATTTAGTTGATATTTTAAGTGGTTTTGCATTTTAAGTGGTTTTGCAGTTCAAGTGTGCTGGATTGTTGAGATCAATTAACATTACATAACATGATGAGCAGTGATGATTACAGTTTGATGTACAGAGGAGCCAAACATCCTACAGTATTTCAGCCTTCTGAAACAATTGCTTTTTGCAATAGCAGAGAATGAATGTAAATAAGTAGGTGATACCCCAGCAGAATTTACATTTTGCCATGGCCATTGTTCATCTTAGCAGCACCTGCTTCAGCTTTTCTGAATTGTTTTTTAATTGGCCTGTCATCAAAATTTAACCCAGGGTTGAAATTTAAACTGGTCTCTGGAAAGCACAGGCTTCACACTTGCATAACCTGCACACCTGACCGATTTGAGACTGTACAAGGGATTTTCATGTTTTCACACAGGCATTGGGTTCACACTGCATTTTGTGAGTTGCGATGAGGTGCATACGGTAAGTGAAGGTGGGCTGGTTAGGAGTTATGCCTCGGTTCCCCAGCACTTCAGCCCAGCTCTCAACATTGTTTAAATCTCCACTAAACCTCACTCCCCACCCACGCCTGTGCCATATTTCCCATGCCATCTGTGTGCCCTGACATTCCCCATACTAGCTTCATGCACAAAGTACAGTTCTCAGGAGCCATGCCACAGCTATGGAAATTATTTTAATATCATTGAAAAGCCATTCAACTACTTCAGAAAACAACGAGTGAGGCTCACTAGTATTGATGCTCCCCGCTCTCTAATAAAAATCTTGTCCTGTGGCATCACAACTGTTTTGATTTGGAAATGAATTGCTCCCTATTATTATCAGAGAATCCAGTGCTGTATTTCTTTGTGAGATACTGAATTTTTCCATGATCGAAAAAACAGAATGCCTGTTTTTAAGATCTCCCCACTCCTGAGACAGCAGAAGTCCAATAACCAGAAAATACAAGTTAAGTCTTTTTATCTGATTAAAAATACATCTCATGCTTTGTGACCCTGACTTGCTGATGTGCATGGCAATTGTTGTTCCCCAAATGTAGCTACTAAATAGTACTGTAGTGTGACTGCACTACTTTCTTTAAATGTTCTCATAAACTGTGCTGACCCAAAGCTGCACTAAAATAAGGAGTAGTCTCTGTGTCTGAGGCTTAAAGCAAAGACTTTAGGATCTTCATGAGCAGCATAAACTAATAATAGATTTTTTTTATTCATTCATGGGATGGGGTGTCAATGGTTAGGCTAGCATTTATTGCCCATCCCAGAGGGCAGTTAAGAGTCAACCATATTGCTGTGGGGTCTGGAGTCACATGTAGTCCAGACCAGATAAAGATGACAGTTTCCTTCCTTAAAGGACATTAGTGAGCCAGGTAGGTTTTTTCCAACAATTAGAGTCATTGAGCTCTACAGCATGGAAACAGACCCTTCGGTCCAACTCGTCCATGCCGACCAGATATCGTAAATAAATATCTAGTTCCATTTGTTAGCATTTGGCCCATATCCCTCTAAACTATTCTTCTTCATGTACCCATCCAATTCCCTCTTAAATGTTGTAATTGTAACAGCCTCCCCCACTTTCTCTGGCTGCTCAATCCATACACGGACCACCCTCTGCATGAAAAAGTTGCCCCTTAGGTCCCTTTTAAATCTTTCCGCTCTCATCTTAAACCTATGCCCTCTAGTTTTGGACTCCCATACCCCAGAAAAAAGTCCTTGTCTATTCACCCTGTCCATGCTTCTCATGATTTTATAAATCTCTGTAAGGTCACCCCTCAGCCTCCGATGCTCCAGGGAAGATAGCCCCAGCCTATTCAGCCTCTCCCTATAGCTCAACCCCATCAACCCTGGCAACATCCTTCTAAATTTTTCTGAGCCCTTTCAAGTTTCACAATATCCTTCCTATAGCAGGGAGACTAGACTTGCATGCAGTATTCCAAAAGTGGCCTAACCAATGACCTGTACAGCCTCAACATGACCCTCCCAACTCCTATGCTCAATGCACTGACCAATAAAGGATTGACAATAGATTCATGGTCATCATTAGATTCCAGATTTTTTAGTGAATTCAAATTGAACCATCTGCCATGGCAGGATTTGAACCCAGGTCCTCAGAACGTTACCTTTGTCTCTGCATTAACAGTTCAGCAACAATACCATTAAGCCACTGCCACTCCCAAATTTACTATCCTTACTTTTTATCTTGACAGTCACTAATGTCTAGGTTTCTGGAAACTATGCAAGGATGTTAATCTTTTAGTTTTGCAGAAAATTTCTCCCAAGCCCTAAAATATTCGCAATGACTCATAACCCATTCATCAAGAATACAAGAGTTGCATTTATATAATTTTGTTTAGTAAAGTTCTGTAGCCAACTGAATACTTTTGAAGTGTGATCTCCGTCGTAATAGAGGCTGCTACTTTTTCTATATGTGCACATAGCATGGTCTCACAGGCTGCACTAAGATAAATGAACAGGTCATCTATTTCAGCGATGGTTGAATGATAAGGCTCTAGAGAAAGGACTACCCTGTACTTACTCTCCTGATGCGATGTGCTGCCTGAAATGCAAGTGTTAGATTTTGTGCTTGTACCTCGTGTGGAGCTTGAATCTTATATTTCAGAGACATAGCTAACACAGAATCAGTGAGAGGTACATGAGAATGATCCAGGATACTTGACCAAGGGTGATTGTTCCCGCCCCTCTCCTCAAACACATCCTTTATCATCAAGGAGGGCTTAGCCATCAGGCCACAACTTGCTTTATCACTGCAGCCAAGGTTAGGGAGCATGTGTAGCTAAGCCTTCCAACATGTCAGTGTTCTACATATTTATTAGAAGGGCACAGACCAATGTCAAAATGTACAATTCAGTGTTATAACCAGCCATGAAACCCAGGTGCTGCAACAGTCTTGTCAATTGAATGCTATGTGACTTCCACTTTCACTGGCAAATGTTCTTTTGAAATGCACATTCAGCTCAGTTTCTGACTGAAATCAGGTTCTGAAATCAGCATTTCAAAATGCTTTCAGATCCACTATTTCGTTAGGACTTTAGAATCTGTTGATTTTCAGACCAATAAAGTGTGATGAATTCAAACTTGGAGGTATTGTAATCAGCTCCAAATTAGTTAGGTAGACTAGTTCTTCAATTATATTGAACCACTACTGAGCTTGTTTCGAAAATCAGTGTTTCACTTGAAACCTCCCTCAGGTTTATTGGATTTTTCTTAATGATGACCAAGTTTCATGCATGAGATTTTTTTTAATTTGCATGTTTTTTATTTATACTGAGGGAGATTTCTGCTGGGTGTGGGGGATGTAGTCTCTGTTTCTTTAAAGATTTAGCTAATTTGTTTCTATTTAATGATGGCCAGTTATTGTAATAATTTTATGTTCTTTCAGAATTTCATTTTGTACATGCAAGGACTGTGCAGTAAACTAATCTTTTAAAGTGAAACTAAGTATTGAATTTAGGTCATTGTAAACACTGATATATGATAAGATATATGAAAGATTCTACGTCTTTCCATTAATGCTCTGTGGTGTATTCCAGTATTTCCTTTTTGTGTTGGGCATAGTTAAAGCAGAAGTTAATTTGTGGTTGAGATTTGTAATCAACACCACATTATTCCTTGAATTATTCTTCCCTTCAATATAATTGTCTTATTGTTGTCATAATAATGGTCTGTTATTTAAAAGAATGATTCTTTCCCAGCAGCAGAAGCCCTTTTTACAAAACAAAATCAAACATGTGAAATTAAGACACATTGTGCCAGTATTTTAGGCATTCATTGAATTTGTTAATTATGGCTTAATGCTTATTGAAGGAAGACTTGGATAAACTAGTTATAGAATATAACCAGTTGGAGTGCTGCCCTGAATTCATGGGTGCCAAAATCACCACTGCTTCCATAGCCAGTCTAACTACTCTCCAAAAACATGTGGAACCACAGTTGATGAGGTAGAGGGACCTAAATTGGTGTTTTGTGTCAGGTATAGATGAACCTGGAAGAATTTTCTTTCCACCAAAACTCGAGTGAGATGGGCAGGATTTTGTTCTGCTTACATATTTCAGTCTAAAGTTTCCCAGGAGATTTTTTGTTATTATTTACCAGAAGGTTCAATTGAAAGAAGTTTTATAAAACAAGTCAAACACAGCCAAGTCTGACCATCCCTTCAACCAACACACCACTTGTCCATCTGCTCACTTCCTGCCAAGGCTCGCATGTTATTACTTAAGTAACATCATCACTTCATTATAGTTGAGTGAAATCATTACAGCATTACTTAAGTGAAATCTTCAGGCCAGATGCAACTGTAATCCAGTATCCAGGATCTTGAGAAAGAGAAGAGGCAAGAAAAATGGTCTGCTTGTTATCCATGGATGAACACTTTTGTTCACTTATTAAACAGTGACTTGGGACTTTAATCAGTTAAAATTTGTTCACCAAACTCGATATAAGCTTCCTGTGTGTTCTCCCATTGTCACGTTTTGGTCAGCCTTAAAACTGTTCAATTGTCACACGTTTACAGAAGAAATCTACAGTCGCCTTAGTTAAGTGAAATAACCAGCTAGAGCCACCACAATTTGATGTCTCCTTAGTGTGCTTCCCTCTGGTAATGGAAAGAACCATTGATGTCCCTCTCCCTTAGAAATAGGCAACTGGTTATTTAGCTAGCATTATGTTCTAATCAAAAGTGTGGGACAGGGTAGGAAGGTAGCCCTCCATGAACTGCCACAGCCACACACGAGTATTTTTTTTAAAAATGGTTCTTGGGAAGTCAGCATTTATTGACTATCGTAATCGTGCTTGAAGAAGTGATGGTGATGAGCCTTACCTATAATTCACTGGTACTTCATTCAAATGCTCCTTTGTAGGTGAAAACCTTAACAGTGAATATTAGCAGATTGAGGAACAAAAGACAACATAACTGCTAAGAACATGACAATCCCCATTTGACAATGTAACAGCCCTTACCAGATTGTGATTAGGAACATAAATCTGAGTGACCCCGTAAACAGTAGCTTTCTCAACATTGCTCTAACTGAGTTCAGCTAATTTATCTGATATTAAGGACTAAATGTGTAACTTTATTTCTCTGTGCAGGGCCCACTTCCACGACCAAATGAGAGCCAAATGTTAAAGCACACTGTCGTGTTACTGTATGACCTGGGTTCTTGTCCAAAACAGCCATAATTGGCCTTCACAATATGTTTATCATATTATCTACAAACATCCTACATAAATTCTTAAAAAAGGTCCCTTTGTCATCTTGGAGATAGTAGGAACTGCAGATGCTGGAGAATCCGAGACAACAAGGTGCAAGGCTGGATGAACACAGCAGGCCCTTTGTCATCTTGTTTGCTACCTTCACCCAAATACTTATCACTTTTTTTGTGTTAAGGTATTTTTCCTAATTACAAGCCTGAATGAAAAGTCCAAATGAACTGTAACAAGAAAAAGTGATTTGACTGGGAATGTTGTCCTAGAGAGAGACTACATTTACTTATATGTAGGTGTGATCGGAATGTCTCTGTCCTAGGCTTCATTTATCTAGCTAATGATGCCCTACAGAAAGATTGCTTTGGTGCACACCCTTGACACTGTATAATGAAGCAGCTCTGCAATTCAATTGTATTGACTGGCATTTGTTACTTTCCGTGTTTTTCTTTTTACTGAGTTGGTGGTTTCTGTAATTATACTTCTTCCTCGAAGTCAAGTTTTATGCTGCTTTCCTGTTTTAAGCATGCTTGATGTTTAAATAGTAAGTGTTTAGAAACAAGGGATATCTTCGGTATGATGCTGTAATGTATTTTATTCTTGTTTCTTTTCATTTCTCATTTTTTTCATAACAGCTTTTTTTTTAACATTTGGTATTGTGACAATTTGTCAAAAAGTAATGCAGAAGGCTTATTTTAAAAATGTAATAAAATTCTCTCCTCCGATTCTTTGACTATCCTTTTCCAGCAGCATGTGAAAATTGAAGATACGCCAAAGTAGTGAGTTGTGGTGATACCTTGCTGGCTCCCTTTATTGATGTGTTGCAAATGTGCAGACAAAGAGCTAATTTATTGTTTGGTGACAGCAAAAGTAGCTTGTGAGCAGAGTATTTGGAACAATACCTCTGTGAGAAATTGTATTTAGTATAAAATATGGATGACATGTACAATCTTGTATACTTCATAATATATTTCCTTGTTAAGGAACAGTTATTGTGTCATGAAATGATTCAGATGCTTTCACATACTGCTGTACTTTTTTGTTTCCTAATCTTTTTATTGCCTGCACCTTATTAATTTATGTTCCACTTGCTTTCTACTTGACAGGAAGGTCCCATTAGAGGACAAGCCCAAACAAGAGGGGACAGAAGTAAAGACGGTTCCTAATGAAGCCTCACAAACAAATGAGAATGAAAGCAAAGCATGATCAAAAAAAAAACACAGAAACCGGTTTCCCTTCAGTGTCTCTTTTATTATTTTTGAACATGTTTTCCTGTTTGTAGGTTTCAGCTGAGAAGGGGATCAATTGTGGCACACTTGCTTTTTCTAAAATTCCTTGATTAGAGGGTTGACCACGTAATTGAAATTGGTACTTGTTGGAAACAAAACAACCTGGGATATTTTAATTGTAGTTGCCATTTTTCACTGCGCTTAGCAACAATTGTGATTTTTAGATAACGTGTGCATTCTTCAGTTAGAAAGCACTGAGATACTCCTTCCGTTTCTCCCTCTGTTAGTAGAATGAACAGTTGAAACAAAAGAGAGAGTTTTCGGTACATACCTGTAGAAATGGCCACAACTGATTTTTATCTTCTTACTTTTTTCAAAGTTAAAAATTATACTGATTAAAACACAGCTTTATAAATTACCATTGTAAGGCTAGAAACGTGATTGCTTCACCGTTCATACAAGTACATTATGTGCACAAAGCATTGCTATCTTAACCTGTTTATAATTTTTTTATTTGCAAGTTTTGATCCTGAGTTAGGTGTTCACTAAACAGAAGGTTTGTAAATTTGCATATGTGAAGTATATTTCAATTTGCAGTATTCAATTTTAAGAAATGAATATTAATTTTTGCCAACTTTTATTTTCAGTGTTTATTGGTTTAAGACTGCAAACCATAATTGTTTAACCTTTACATGTTATAATTGTGTGTAAATGTAACAGGCTTTGTTTTGTTTTATTTCAAAGCTTGTTTAAAATGTCCATAGTTTAGCTTGTTTGCTTTTGCCACTTTTATTTTGAATGGAAGTGTTTACATTGCTTTTCCTTGTTACTCTTCGGTTAGAATATGCATTGATTATTTGATCTACCAGAAAGACCTTGTTATATCATATGCTTACACACCATATTAAGACCAGTTTTCTCCATTAAAGTCTGATATTCATTTATGTTAATTGTTCCTTGCTTGTTTCCACAGCAAAACGCCTTCCATTCTTGCAGCTATGAAAGGAATTATGTAGCGCATTTCTGTTTCTGAAGCAATGTTTCAACTTTTTAGACTGCAAGCTTGTGCACTGTGAATGCGTGAATATTATAGTGTGTTTTTGTCATAGTATTTCAAAGAAATTCAGCATAGCTTGGTTGTGAAAGGTGTAGCAGGTAGTTCTGAAGATTGTGTGGGAAAATGCCATCACTGTGGTGGGGGGGGAATTAAAAAGAATATAAGGGGAGGCAGACATTTTTGGGCATGAATTCCATGTGTTCTAAGTTTTATTGCCTGTAATGTTTAACAATGATGGTAAGACTGGGAGCAGTCCCCATTAGCACAATCGAATGGGGCTTTATTATTTCATGTACTTTTATTTTGTGTGCAGTCTCAGTCCAGTAATGATCGCATTGCTAATTTGTAAGTTCAAACTGTGAAATACTGGTCTTGTCATTTGCTTCAAGTGTTTGCATATATTCAACGTTAGGGATGACACTGGAGGCACTTCTCAAGTCACCCATTTAATAATTAAGGTGTGCCCTATGTACCAATGTGACTTGCTATACCAGATCATTTTTGGGCATGTTTACTACAATGGCATCACAGCAAAAACAAATGGCATTTTTATTCCAAAGCTGCCTTATATTAAGCCCTATCCTAATACAATTACCCAGCGATACGTAAACCTGTTACTTGCTGTAATATTTGTGCTGGCATTAAAAATGGGACAAAGTTTACACGGATCATTGCAGTGATCTCGTAGAAAGTGAATGTTTGTTGTCTTACTGTGCCATCTACCACATCTTTAGTGAAAGGTAACTTAATGTAATTAAAAGGGCAGAGGATTTTCTCCTGTGTTGATTGTAGTAAAATTATAAATGCATTTATTAAAAAAAAAATACATTTACCCATTTGCTTCAAATGGCCAGTAGAGGAAATCATCCCCTTGATTCAAAACATATGACTCTACCACCTAGAAGGACAAGGACAGCAGATTAATGGCAACATTGCCACTTGCAAGTTCCCCTTCAAGCCACTCACTGTCCTGATTTGGAATTATTGTTATCACTTCACTGTCTCTGGGTCAAAATTCTGGATCACTCTCTCTGATAGCTGTGTAGGTGTACCTGACTAGATGGACTGCAGCATTAAAGAAGGTGACTCACCACCCTCTTCTCATGGGTAGTTAGAAATGCGTAACAAATGTAGGCCTTGCCAGCGACACCCGCATCTTGAAATTATTCTTAAAGATTCCTTTTCAGAATTTCAAACATGGTTCACATCATAAGTACATTGGCCAAGGTTTTAAACTTCTGGAATCAGCTGTGAGTTCCTTGCCTAGTCACATCAATGGGCAGAAAATCAGGGGCTATTTAGCACTGAAGAGGAAAAGCCTAGCCCTTGTGCCTTGACTGAATAAGGGGTCAAATATAAAATAGCCTTATGACTTTCTTGTGTAAATGCAAAAGGCCAGAATTCATCTCATGTACCCTACAAAGATTAAAAACTCCAACCTCCACTGTCAGCCCTAATTAGAATACCCTGCATTTAGAGCCTTCTCTCCTGTTACAGAACTTTTTATTGAGTGAAGATTAAACCACCTTTCCACTATCACTGGTGTAAATACTGACTACTAACCGAGATTTTTGAATTTGCATTATGTCAGATACTTGTGTTCAATAAAAATTACAAAACAAGATGATGATTGCCGTGTCCATGTGTTAAGCAAACCGTTTGATCTATAATTAGGAAGCTAATAGTAGCACCATGACCACCTTAGCTTGCATCTACCAATTCAGGGAAAAAAAATTGAGAGAAATCCCTGGCCTATATGATTCAGCTGCTCTCCACATAAAATAACCAACTTGCTGGAAACGCTGAAAACAAAACAATAAATAACTGAAACCTGTAATAAAATGGGATTCAATAGCCTTATCATGTCTGCTTCTTTTTAAAAAGGTAGTCTCACAATCTGTATCCTACAAAATGCAGATCTTTCACCTGCAGGAATCTTTAATAAAGTGATTCAGAGACAGTAGGAACTGCAGATGCTGGAGAATCCGAGACAACAAGGTGCAGGGCTGGATGAACACAGCAGGCCAAGCAGCATCATAGGAGCAGAGAGGCTGACGTTTCGGGCCTAGACCCTTCATCAGAAAAATTTCAGGACTGATTTTGAAAATGTAAATGGACAGGATAGAATTGAAACTTAGCAACTTGAATGTGAACTATTAAACAACAGTCATAAACAATAATAATTATTGTTCACTGTGAAAGGGCAGGACCTATTGAAAAGCTAGTCACACCTTCATTAGGACTGGTGAGAGGTGGTAAACCCGCAACATCAGCCTTCCTGCTCCTCTGATGCTGCCTGGCCTGCTGTGTT